GACCTTCACATTCATGGAGGCAGAGCGAGGCAACTCCCAGCAGCTTGTGGAGGTGTGGGTGGACTTTGAGACGATACAAAGTCAAATGGAGACCCGGTAGATGTGTAAGCCAGAGACGATGTCGCTCCAGTAGATGCACCTTTGTCACTGGCCTTTAATGACAATAACGTGAAGTTGAACACCCAATTCCTAGGTGCAACCTGCAGGGTAAGGGCGAGTGGCCAGTTACTGCAGCTACATACTATCAACACTCCTTCCCTTTATTAATGCTACTCCTATCACCTCCCTTTGATGCTGCTAATCCTGCATAATGCACGGGCATAAGTAGTACTAATCACATTCCTGCATTTCCCATAAATATGCTAAATGCCTCTTGATATGCAAATTCTTTTGTCAAGGCGCCCTTTCCCCCCTTCCAACCCAGCTTATATATATGCTCCAAGCGCGTGTGCTGTTTCATTCAGATGCTGTCGCCTCGACAGACCTGGTTTTCACCTGAGGACGGCTGCTTGCGTTGTGACCGAAACGTCGTGAGAATTGTTTTATTATGTTTAATTTTTATTATTTCCCTTCTACGTGACTTTACCGAAAGAACCAAGAAGACGAGTGGCCAGTCTTTGTGGACCTGTGGGTTGGGTCAATCTCTCACCAGCAGCGAGAGCCAATCAGCCCCCAAGCATTCACGATGTTCTCATCATAATTGCTGTTACATGGTGCTTGTCTGAAACACTCGAAGAGCATCCCCAAGTGGCAGCTGCCCCTGTGTGGCACAAGGTGGAGGCCCTGCACCGGCCTGCGTGTGGACAAGACCCTGTCAGTGGGGGGCGATGATTGATGTGTAATCTCAGCTGTGTCGTTTGTCGGTGATCTTGACTTGAAGCTTTCGTGACTGCAGGAATCCACACCCTTTAGTTCTTTCGGTGACGTCACGTGGGTCGAAAAATTATAGATCACGGCGTTTCGATCGCAACACAAGCGATCGTCATCAGGTGTGACAACCACCACCATCACCACTTTCACCATCACCACCATCACCACCATCATTACCACCACCATCACCACTTTCACCATCACTTTCACCACCACCACCATCATCACCACCACCATCACCACCACCATCATCACCACCATCACCACCATCATTACCACCACCATCACCACTTTCACCATCACTTTCACCACCACCACCATCATCACCACCACCATCACTTTCACCACCATCATCACCACCACCACCATCATCACCACCACCATCATCACCAACTGAGGTAGACGCCAACTTCAGCAGTTATTGACGTGGTCCCAGCTGATGGCGATTGCTTGCGTTGCGATCGAAACCTCGTGATCTATTATTTGTAGGTAATGTTTAGAATTTGCTACGTTTTGACCCAGACGCCAGCATGCAATGGACTACTCGTTTTGAATGACACAATAGTATGTGTTAAAATAGCTTCTTGTTAATACGATGTTACCTGATGCAGTATGTTTCGCTGCAGTAATTCAATTTTGTTAATATGCCTGTCAATAATTAAGAATGAAAACTTGTCTGATTGTGCGTGTACATGTAACATTTTGTCAATGAGGGTCAAACATGAAGTGTTCAAATCTAGAGTGATTAAGTGATGTTTGGACAAAGTGTGTGTGTCTGGAAGTAACCTGTACAGATCACTCAGGCGAGATCATTCATCAGTTACAAGGCATACCACTTTAAAGTTGCACGTAGAGATACATTCTCTACAACACGAATTATTATTTTGCATTCACGCAAGCACCCGATGCTCCGTTTTGAAGTTTTAAAATGAAACGTCTTTGAATTGTGTTGTGTTTTGAATTGTATTTCTTCATTAAAAGCTTATATCGTTTTACATCTGGAAGACTTCGTTGAAAAGGACATTCCGTGTGAATTTCCTCTCGTCGTTAAGTAGATAACTTTGCTGGGGGTTCATTTCGCCGCGGACTGTCACCTGCTTGGGATCGCGGGATCGTGAGAAGGCGACACGGAGCCGGCCGTGCGACAAGATTGCGGATCGATTTCACGATCGAGGGTCTGTCCCTGCGCCTCCGTCGTCCGTGCAGGGGGCGCGTGGAGCAGAGGTCGCAAACGGGTTTTGATTCCTTACTCGTGTAGAGGAGTAGAGGAGAGTGGTGGCGTAGCGTGCGCTGTCCGGTGCGGTGACATCACGGGACGTGGGGTCGCACGCACTGCACGTGACATCACCCCTCCTAGGGTATTTAAGGGAGACCCCGTGACGTAAGCGGGGTCACTGGAGGAACGGGGATAGTAGAAGGGGTAAGAGGGAACCTGGGATAGTGATACGTGTTAATAAACCCTGGCGGAAGCCCCTAACTCACCTCCGTCTCCGAGTACGTCCGTCGGAACTCCACAACAACTGGTGTCAGTAGTTTACACAGTCGCCACAATGTCTAAAGCGGGCGCACGGCGTAAGAACCCACCGGCACATCACTTGGAGGGTGCCGAAGGCGGAGAGGAGGCTCCAGCAGTGACCCCAGAGCCCGGGACCCCGGTGACGGTCCCCATGGAGACGAGCGGGCCGGAGCGGGAGGAGTCGGCTGCGGGGAGTGCCAGCTCACCGCCGCCGCCAGAGACTGAGAGCATCCCCGCAACTCTGCTGCAGCAGCTCCTGCAGGCGGTGGGGCAGCTGACCGTCAGGTTGGCCGAGGTGGAGGCGCGGACGCGGCCAACCGGCCCGCACTCGGGACGGGAGCAACCGTCAACCGCCATCGTTGAAACCGCCGCCGTTATCCCAGCGACCGCTCCACCGGAAATGGCCGCCATGTTGGCTGCGACGCAATCCGCGGCGGCCATGTTGGCTCGGGAGCCGTATGCGGCCGCTGCTACGGCTGCGACGCGGCGGCCGGCGGACATTGTTGCTGCGACGCCGCAAGTCGGCGCCATGGCTGCCATGGCGACCGCGACGCCGCGTCTCTCCACCGACGCGGCCGGGGTTTCTCGGCACGCCGCTCCTGCGGGACCAGCCGCCGGCGACGACGCGGCTCCACATCAAGCTGCGCCCGCCGGGGGGACCCCGGGTAAGTACGCGCGTGCCGTCCTCGCCGGGCCGCCGGGGTGGGCAGCGGCAGCTGCCGCTGCCCCGTACATCGCCGTGCCGCCGGAATGGGCCGCGGGTGCTGCCGCGGCTCCACCTGTTGCCGCGCTCACGGAGCCGGCCACCGGCGATGCCGCGGCTCTGCACCTCGCCGTGCCTGCGTCCCTTGTCATGGATGCCGCCGCGGCTCCGTATTATACTGCCGCGTCTTCGGCGTGGCCCGGGGAGGCCGCAACGCCGTGGTGCCTCGCCGCGTCGCGGGACTGACGCTGTGGCTTCGTACGCCACCGCTGACAGGTGGGTCGCGAAAGCGCAGGCGCCTTCACACCTCGCTGCGTCTACGGCGTGGCCCATGGGGGCCGCAGCACCACCGCACCTTTCCGCGTCTTCGGCGTGGCCTGCGGGAGCCGCAATGCTGCCACCGCCGCACCACGTCGCGTCCGCCGGGTGGCCCGCCAGGTGCCGCTTGGCTTCCATACCTCGCGGCGCCGCGCGGCCAATGGCAGCGCCGGTTACCCGACATTACGCCGTTTGTCGCGCAAGGGGGCGACTGGTCGGCCTTCCAGGACCGGTTCGACGCGGCATACATGTCGGTCGGCTGGTCCATGGAGGAGGCCTTGCCGGCACTTCCGACCTGCTTGGACGAAAGGGCTCTGCAGGCCTTCAAGTCCATCCATCCGGCCAATCGGGCTACACTCCCGGCGGCCTATATCCAAATGGCCAACGTTTTTGAGCCGCCGTCCACCGCGCAGCTAAAGTTTTCATTGCGGCGGCGGGAGGAGGGGGAACTACCGCTGGCCTTCCGCTGCTCGCTCCTGGCCCTGGCGCAGGCTGCATACCCTGACCTGTACGGCAGGGCACTTGATTCTATGGCCTTGGGGAAGCTGCTTGACCTGGCAAGGGAGCTAGGAATTGCTCTGTCGATCAACAATGATCGGCAGATCACATCCTTGGCGGTCGCCGAAAACATTCAGGCGCACCTCTCCCTCCGCCAACGGCCTCAGATGGCGGCGTGTGCGGGGGTCCCGGCGCCGGACGGGGGCGCCACCTTTCAGGGGGTGGACACCCTCGCGGCCCTGGCGATGCCCGATCATCGAGGAAGGGGGGCGGGTGGTCGCCGTCCGGAGCAGCGGGGGCGGCCGGGACCTTCCCGTCCGCAGGAGGTGGACACGGTGGCCTGCTTCCGCTGTTGAGCGGGGCTGCCGGGCCTTTGGAAAAGGGACTCCACCTTCTCCCAGACCCTCCTTGGCATCGGGTCCGGGGCCCCAGGCGAGTCGCGACGCATCATCTGCGCGGCCGCTCCCTTCACCTCATGCATCTAGCGGGGCTAGGGCCCATCGTCATGGGGTTGTTCTCGAAGGGTCGGGTGCACCATCGTCATCACCCCCTCAATGGCCCAGACAGACCCGCCACTGGGATGCGCTTGCGCATAGGATGGTGGCGGCAGCTGCCGGCTCCTCAGCGGTGGCAGGATATGTGCAAGGGGTGCACGTTCGCCTCCTGGTGGATACGGGGGCGTCGGCCACCATTATTTCTGAAGCCATTTTTGGGCTGCTACCCCGCAGCGTGGGTCCGTTAAGGCCGGTTCGCGGGGATTGTGTCGCCGCGAACAGCGGCAGTTTGGGCATCTTGGGCCACGTTGTAGCGTCGGTTCGGGTTGACGAGATTGAGTTGGCCGGGCCTATTTTGGTCTCCAGGACCTTGGCAGTGCCATGCCTCTTGGGGACCGACTTTTTGTCTAGGATGCCCATCCGGATTCTCATTGATCAGGGCTGTGTGGAAATGCCATCAGGGAGGCGGCTGCAATTCCTACAATTGCCTACCGTCCTGTCTCCCTTGGTTGCCGGTGTACGGGCCTTGAATAAAGCGCCGGTGACCGTACCACCGGCGTCACAAATCCTGATACCCCTTAGGTTGCGCAAACCGCTCGAAATGGGCTCCACGGAGACGGGTATCCTCCTGTCCCCGTCAAGCTACTTTTCAAGGACGAAGGCGTTGGTGGGTGCCTTGACAGCCGTGTCGGGGGGCCAGGACCTTTTTTTGCAGGTCCTAAATTCGGGACCCTTGCCGGTCGTAGTCCCGGCCGGCGCCGTCCTGGCACACGCGACCCTGGCTCCTCCACCCGAGAGCGCTGCCCCGGATGGAGGGGTCGTGGCGGGCGTGATGCGCACGGGGGACCCCGACGCATCATGGATCGCCACGTTGTGCGACGAGAATGCCTCGTTGTCCTCCGGGGAACGTCGGCAACTCCGCGACCTCATTGAGCGGTTCACCGATGTGTTCAGCCAAAGTAAGTTTGATCTGGGTCGCACTACTCTTTTGGACCACCACATAGACACGGGCGACGCGGCCCCTATTCGACTTAATTCCCACCGCTTTAGCCCAGCGGAAAAAGATCATGTCCGCTCGGCTGTCGAGGAAATGTTGGCGGCGGACATCATCTCCCCATCTACTAGTCCTTGGGGTGCCCCCATTGTGCTAGTCAAGAAACGGGACGGGAGTCTCCGGTTCTGCGTCGATTTTCGTAGATTGAACAAGATCTCGGTGGCTGATGCATATCCATTGCCTCGCATGGATGATTCCCTGGACGCCCTCTCGGGCGCGCGGTTCTTTTCGACTTTAGATTTGCTCTCCGGCTTCTGGCAATTGCCACTGGATGAGGCCTCTAGACCCAAAACAGTGTTCCGCACACCGCAGGGGTTGTTAGAGTTCAATCGGCTTCCTATGGGTCTCCATTCGGCCCCGGCCACCTTCCAGCGTCTCATGGAGATGGTCTTGGTGGGGCTGCAGTGGGAGTCTTGTCTAATCTACTTGGATGACGTTATTGTTTTTGGCCGTACGTTTGGCGAGCACTTGCAATGCCTTGAGGCGGTGTTCGTCAAAGTGCGTGCTGCTGGCTTGAAATTCAAACCCCAGAAATGCCACTTGCTACAACCATCGGTGAGGTATTTGGGACACATTGTTAGCACGTCAGGTGTCGCCACGGACCCGGATAAAACGGCTTGAGTCCGGACGTGGCCGACTCCCACATCTGTCGCGGAGGTGCGTAGCTTCGTTGGCTTCGCATCGTACTATCGCCGGTTTGTCCGCGATATTGCGACAATTGCGAAGCCACTGCATGCCCTTTCCGCCAAAGGCCAAAGGTTTCACTGGGGCGCGGAGGAGGAGGCGGCTTTTGCGGCGCTTCGCACGGCCTTGGCGGATGCGCCGCCCTTGGGGTACCCGGATTTTTCGAAACCCTACCTGCTCGATACCGATGCTAGCGACACGGGAATTGGGGCTGTCCTGGCCCAGGTGGTCGACGGGGTTGAGAGGGTGGTAGCCTATGGCAGTCGCGTTCTGTCCTCGACGGAACAGCGATATTGTGTGACCCGGAGGGAGCTTTTGGCCAAAGTTTATTTTGTTCAGTTGTATAGACCATATTTGTACGGTAGGCTGTTTACGGTCTGAACCGACCACGCGGCCCTGCAATATTCGCTGATGATTAGTCAGCCCTCGGGTCAGCTGTTTCGCTGGCTCGAAGTGTTCCAGGATTACCCCTTTGATGTAATCCACAGGAAGAGGACACAGCATGGAAATGCGGACGATTTATCCCGATTGCCGGCAGGCGGCGGGTGTGCTTGCGCCCTGGGCTCTAGCCATTGCAAGGCCCCAGGGGACGCCACGGCCCAGTTGGTCGCGTCGGCCGAGGCGGCCACCCCTCCAGGTGCGGCGGCGCCCGCGGATTTCGGCCTTGGACTTTCCCGGGAGGTATGGTCCAGCTTGCAGATGGAGGATTCCTCTCTGCTGAAGCTACGGCGCCGTGTTGGGCATAAGGCCCGGAGCTCAGCTTCGTCGGCTGCCCCGGCGATCGCCGTGCATGACGGACTCCTCATGCATTGGGATGCCCAATTGGAACACTATTGTGTGGTTGTGCCCACTAGCCTGCGTGGTAAATTAACCCGAGCCATTCACGAGAAGCTTATGCACCTTGGCTACCACAAGACCTTATTGACCCTTAAGCGGGACTATTACTGGCCGGGTGTTGAGGGTGACGTGGCACTGATTTTGAAGGGTTGCCACGACTGCGCGCGGAGGAAGGCCTCAGTTGTCCGGGACCGGGCCTCGCTGCAGTCCATCCGGGTTTCTCGCGTTAATGAGCTCGTGGCGCTCGACATTTTGGGGCCATTCCCTGCATCCCAACGGGGCCACAAATACCTCTTGGTGGGCGTTGAGTACCTCACACGTTGGCCCATGGCATGGCCTTTGGTCGATCAGTCGGCCTCTTCTATCACCGAGGCCTTCGTCCAGGGGTACGTGTTTGACAAGGGCGCACCGGAACAATTGTTGACTGACCAGGGGCGGAATTTCTCGTCTAGGTTGCTCAAGGAGGTGTGTGACCTCCTTGGCACCAAGAAAATCCGCACCTTGCCCTACCACCCCCAGTCAGACGGGATGGTAGAGCGCTTGAACCGCACCCTTACATCCATGCTGTGCCACCAGGTGAACACGTCCCAGTCAGACTGGGACCTGTTCGTCCCGGGGGTCTTGGCGGCGTATCGGTTGGCCCCTCAAGCCTCGCCTTTTTATGCCTCGCCTTTTTATTTGATGTACGGTAGGGAACCGGAGCCCCCGGTGCACGTCCAGATGGACGTTGGCTCCTCCAAGAAGGGGTCGGCGGTGCCGACCCCTTTGAAGGTCGCGCTTGACCGGCTGCGCGAGGCGCGACAGGCCGCTGCCGAGAATTCCGCAAGCCAGCAGGCGGCTATTGAGCGGCTGCCCAAACACCAGGCAGCTGGCCTCCCGTGGGTAGCGGGTCAAAAAGCGTGGCTGCATTGTCCCCAGGTCCCCGTTGGCACATCGGCCAAATTGCATCGCCCTTGGCAGGGCCCCGTGGAGGTTGTGGAGGTCCGCCGGCCGCAATGCGTCCGGATTCGGTTTGGTCGCCGGCAGTGGATAGTGCACCCGTCCCAGCTCAAACGTTATGTTCCATCTACCCTGGGGGATCCACCCCCAATTCCAGAGCGGCCGGCTGATGATGTAT